TGATTGTCTCGGTTCCTATGTGAAGAATTGTGCGTTCTTGTGTTCTGAACAACTGGCTTGTACAGGAGCTTGTCATTCAGGCCATGCGTCATGGTGTTTGTTTCGATGGCACACCGCTGGAGGCGCTACTGCTGTTGGAGGCGCGCCAGATGGAGGCCGCTTGGACATTATAGCGCCTGGAGTGTGTCAGGTGTGGGTGACTATGCTGGGAATTTGCCAAGCTTGGAATTCAGTCAGGCGAGATGTAGTGAGTTGGCCCGAGTTTTGAGAGGTGCATTTGTGGATGTTGAGAAACTCACCACCCTCGAAACAATGTGTGCTTGACTCCTGGATGCGGACTGCGCAGTCCGCAGAGCAATTCGTCGGAGTTCTTTTCTGTTTGATCTGAGGCAGTTTCACCCACCGTTGACTTGCGACTCAGGTGCCAGAGATTGCTGCGGTGTTGGGGGACAGCAAGCTGCGCCCCGCTTCGTCACTCAAAAGGCGCGGTTTCTTTTGGGAGATTTGGAGTGTCGTTGGAGAGAAGAAGAAGAAGAAGAAGAAGAAGAAGAAGAAGAAGAAGAAGAAGAAGAAGAAGAAGAAGAAGAAGAAGAACAAAAAAAAGAGAATAAGAAGAAGAAGAAGGAGAAGAAGAGGAAGGTGGTGGTGGTGGTGGTGGTGGTGGTGGTGGTGGTGGTGGTGATGATAATGATGATGATGATGAGGATGAATTCCCAACTGCAATCTGAGATCCTACCTGCTTATCCTCCCAACAGACCGATAAAACAAAACCGTCAAAACACAACAATTGTGTTTTTCTGGCTTAAAACGCCTTGTAAGTTTTATCCTGTCATGCCGACACTATTGTTGAGAGGGCTTTGAGGAAACTAAAAACAATCATTGATAGGACCCCATCGGCTTTTCTTGCTGTCATGTTGGAAGGGCATGCGCTGTGAATCGAAGAGCCTTCGGGCAGCGTGATTTTTGCTGTCCAACCCTGCACAGATGCCAACTTGCTATGAGGTTTTATGATCTGCAAGAATCTGGCTGCAAGGTTCCCTTGCCCTGCCGGTCTGGGCTCTTGTGGGTTGGATGGGAGTGGAGGTATAGCTTGGAGCTGGGCTTGGAGGAGGTGGAGGCCATCCGCGGAAGGGATTCCCACCCGGGAGTTGGGATGGTTTGTTTTCAGATTATTGAGTTCTGTGTTTGAATCATGCATCAGCCCAGAATGCTGCGGCCTGCGATATTTGGGGTCTGCTTCTTCGGACTGGGCCAGCAGGACTGGCATTCATTTAGTCGAGCATTCACCGACACAGTCTGATTGCAGCACATAACGCAACCATCATCTCCTAGCTTGAGCACACGACTTTGTTGGGCCGGCCTTTTCCGGGCTGCTAAGTTGGTGCCCCCCTTGCACAGATGGCTTTCAGAGCCTTTCCTGGTATATTACGTGAAAGAACAAAACCCTTAACCAAGTTCAGCTTCAAGTAATGCGCGGAACGTTAGTGGAACATGGTGAGTTGTTTGCTGTTGAAGTCTTCAAGAACAAGCGGAAGAGGCACCGCGTCGCGCAAAGGTTTGGCCCATGACCAATCCAGCCAGTCCCTTTCATGGGTTCATCGATGATTATGTTCACGCTGCTTAGTGTTTTGGAGGAGAAAGCACTGCACCAAGGTTGTGTGGTCTGGGTTGCAAGTTGCAGCAGTGTGGTGAAGGTGAATCTCGGACATCTCCCAGGTTTCCATGTCAGAGTGCTTGCTTCTTGAATGCTCGTACAAGCGGCTGGTGCTTTCCGCTACGGAGGCGCCATTGCTTCTCTACGTGGATGCCAACATGGCACAGCTTCCGCTGGAGGCGTGCCCCTGCTTGAGGCGCGGAAGGGTGAGGTTTGTGGGGCTTGCTGGCCGCTTGCGGTTCTGCTGGGCAGGTTGAAGGAGTCTAGTCTGCGACAACCAGCGTTCATGATATTTTGGGCCCTCGTGACTGGTCACGGCCGTCTTGAGCCAAAACCGTGGGCGAGCTGCTTGGGGGCCGGGTGCTTCGAGCCTGCATGAGGGACTCCTCGAGGCCAGTGACGATCCCAAGTTGTGTGTCTCACAGAGACTATGGTTCGAGGTAAAACATGGATGCTGATCAAATCCTTTGTTTGGAATTGCAGAGGCAATGTGACCCTTGAAACATGGGCCATTGTGTGGAAGGTTGCCCACTAGTTCCGAAATGCCATTTAAAGGATCCACTGGCAGACCCACATGCATACTCCACCTGGATTATGGATTTGGAGCATTCACACATTGGTGATCGATGATGGAAAGATGAAACTCTTGGATGCTGTCACCATGAGATACATGCACACATACACATGCAAGGATCCTGAGGGGTAAGCTATGTTGAGTACAACGAGCTCTGAGTTGTACAAAGAGACAGAAGAAAGCGGCGAGGCAACTGTGACTCTTTCCTGGTTTCTCCAGCCTTCAGCCACACCAAATCTGAAGAATGGTAACCACAAACTACCACTTGGATGGAACCAAGCTTTCTGCCGAAGCAGACACGGCTTTGGCTTGTTCCTGTGCAAACTTTGCCACCTGGGCATTTTTGATCTGCAGGAACCGCAGCGTGGTGCGGGGTCTTGCGCCGAACATCATGCGCCCTGGCCTTTCGAACGAGAAGTCAAGGACGTAGGCGTTCAGCGAGAGGATGGATCACTTGCCCTCAGGGCATGCAACAACCACGGGTACGCAACCTGCACCATCCCAAAAGGATTAACATCTCCAGGGTCGGAAGACCAGGGAAGGTTGTTGCAGGCGTTGGTTGAGAGTAATTGAGCGGCACCCCTAGATCCTGTACGTACAATTTACACATCAGCCTTTGACAACGTCGATTCAAGCTTCTTGCTTTTGGGTTGGATGCTTGATTTGTTCCCCGCCTTGCTCCGCTGCCCGGGGTTTTGAGTTTGTTTTGCAGCTGTGCAAGGGACTGATTGAACATAATTGAACGGATCTAAGCTGCTTGACAGACAGGGGCCAACAAACACGCATACGCACACGAGCTCATTCAGAGGGCGTGCCTTTAGTGGTCACTAACTTGCTTGTTCCATTATATCAAAGTCTCTCCAAACCTCCACCAAATGCGACGCCGTGATATTTTAAGTGTAACAAACCAGTTGAATGAGAACTTGACTGTTTTGGAAGCACATGGCTTTCTTCCCGCAAAACCGCAAAGCCTGTCACCCTCAAACACCAGCATAGGCCCCAACACACACTCTAAGGCAGAGACACAACCCCAGGCACACAGCAGCAGCCTGAAGGCAAAGCAGCCAGTTGAATTAGAACTCGGCTTTTAGAAAACACACACACACACAAACGCTCATGAAGCCTAGAGACATTGCCCTCAAACCAAGCACCAGTGTAGCCCCCAAGAAACACTCTAGAGCAGGGAGGAGTTTAGCTTGCGAATTCTTGATTTCAAGCGCAACTGTGCTTCCTCTGAGCTATCTAAGTGTGCCTTTCTCGTAATACGTGAGACAACGATAAAAAGGGATGCAAATAAACCACGCCACAAAATCGAACTTTGACAGGCTAAAAGGCACACTCGCGCCACGAGAAGCAACATGCACTCAAATACACGCTTTAAACTCAAAAACTGAACAAAACAATAGTTTTTTCTCGGGGGTGGGGTGGGGTGGGGGGGCCTCATGTACGAACTAGTACGAATTCTTGTGCTATACTTGCCTCGCGGTCGCTTCGCTCCAGTGGCCAAAGGGCCTCGGCGGAATCTAGCCACTGTTTTCTCACATGTAGGCGGAAATGTAGCCCGTGTGAAAGGCAAGCACAAGGCGCGCCGGTTTAAGGCCTTGTAGATTTGCGTTGGCAGTTCCAAGAGTACAATTCAACATAAAGGGATGATTGACGTTCTACCATCTAAAGCCTCCTCCTTGATGTGTGGCTGTACCTGTGTTTGCTTTGCTTTGCATCAATTTTCCCCCAAGCTGTTGCAGCAGCCGAACCTCAGCCCCCCCCTTTGAAGGTTGTGTGCATGCGCGGTTCAGATGATGCACTGCCTTCTTTTGAAAGCACACCTGCTAACTGTTGAAGGTGCCTTGAGTCACTTGACGAGTGTCCCAACCATCGGATATGCGAGCGTCTCGACGCGTGTGTATATGGATGTGACGTGAATGACATTGTGACACAACGGTGCACTTGGTATGTAGTATGTAATGTACTGAATGCCATGTAATGTGAACCAAACATTCGCGTGATGCGATGCGATGTGAATCCATGAGACATCTCGGCTCAGGCCTGCGACTGTGGCGGCGGCCACAGGCTTTTTCGTCATCGACCCTGCGGAGGACTGCACCCAGATGGGGGACGTGAAGCGACTGCTCACATCTTGGAGCGAGGGGCAGGCCGGGGGCAGACTGGGAATGTGTCCCGAAGACTTTTTGGGCTTTGTAGACCGCATTGCCTAGGCTTTTTGGGTTGGCAAAACCGCCCCTTGGCGATCCACCACTGGTTTGAAGAACGTCAGCTTCTCCTGTTCTAGCATTGGCATGGTTTTGGTGGTGAGCAAGCATGCAACGAGCACGAAAGAACCAACCAAATGACTGTGTCAGGCAGTGCCATGTGCGATTGTCGGAGTCAGCCAAAGCAGCCTTCTTTCCCTGAATGTCTCCGCCAGTTGCTCAGTACCACTTGCTAGTCTACAAAGCAATACCAATAAGGTCTGTATATTATATATACATGTACACCCCACTCTGGTCATAGGTCATACCGGTAGCCCCCCAGGCTCATATACATATAAACTCGTACATATATATATATATATATAATATATATATATATATATGGGTTCTACCAACTGTGCACTTCCAATCTTGTGCCCTGCAGTCATGGCATGGCCACACCGGGCTGCCAATGCCAGCGCCAGCGGAGGCAGAGTGGGCAGAAAGTGAATCAGAGCAAACGGGACATGTTCGCCTTGCGACCTGCGAAAGTTGAAGAATTCCCCTTGACACATTTGGCTGGGTCTTGACTTAGTTCCTGTAAGATAGCATGAGTCCTGCTGGCACATTAGACATCGCAACTCTTGCTCTTTGATGTCGTGCCTTTCTTGGCAGTGTGCTGCCGCTGCCATTCACCATTCAGGTGTTGGATGAACTTTGCCGCAATGACGTTTTCGTCTACTTGGGCCATGGAGAGCGGGCAAGGCGCGTGAGCGTGCACCATTAGAAAAGATGGCAAGCGATTGGTGACAGACCGGTGAACTGCTTGCTGACTTCAGAGCGCGCATGGAGTGGGCGAGCGAGAGGAAAGTGCCCCCCCCACTCCCCCGAGCGAATTGGGGGTGTATAGGGGCGGGTCAACGGGGAAAACTGAAAAGCAAATTGCGGGTCAGAGTTGGCCTACTCAAGAAGTCTCTCAGCAACTACTGTTTAGTACTGGTTTAGTTTAGTATTGTTCTGTGTTCCTGGGCACTGGCTGTCATGATGAGATTTGGCTGTCGGGGAAACAGCCGGCTTTGCTGGCTCGAGACATTTCGTAGACGTTTCATAGCTTAGTATCGGTGCAGTGTTCGCTTGCAATGGTCCAAGTAATTTTCTTCCTCTATTTCCTGCTCTTAAACATTCATCATATTGACTTTCCGGGACGTTCCTGTGCCACCCTTTTTGAAACTATGTCTGAGTAAAGGGTGTCACAAAGAATTTGGTTGTTTGGGCCTCAGTTGGTTTTGCTGGCTCAGGATTGGCTGAGTATTGGTTTGGCCTGAGTTAGTGTTGGTTTAGCATTGATTAGTATTGCCTTAGGTTTTAGTATTAGTTTCGTATTTCCAGGGCTTTGAATCATGTTTTTTCTCACTCCCGGACGGGAAGCCATATGTTTCACGCCGGTAAAACTCTGTACTTCCACCCCGGTATCTTTTCAGGGTGGAGAGCAAAAAATTGGGGAGCCATTTCTGAATTGTCTCCCGATTTACGATTCGTTGCTCGACATTATTCTTCTAGGGCACAACATTGAAAGGTATCCACGTCATCCGTGCGAAGTTTATTCTTGCTGAAAAAAGGTTGCTGCGGTGAGATGCCGACTTATCGATTCTATCAAATCATTTCAGCTGAAATAATGCAACATCATCAATCAAGTAATGCCCTGGGTTGCAGGCTCGATTCCCCGTGGAACGAGCCTTCTCCTCATTGGAATCGTAGCCTTCAGGCAGCTTCTTCGCCAAGACAGAGTGCGCATGCCTGGCACAGCGCATGACACTTGGTTTGCAATGATGCTGCCGAAAGGAAAACTGATGCACCGTGGCAAGACACTTCCCTGTCGACAGCTACTGGTTGTTCTGACCAATGAGCAGCGCTCTGACTTGATCGGACTGGATGCAGGTAGTCCTAAAAGACGAAATACATCGGTCAAAAAGAGCGTAGGCAGGCCTGTGAAGGACATTCAAGTGTCACTACAGATCAATCGTTTTGACTTGTCAAGGGGGCTCAAGAGAGGACAACACAGGATGTATATGGGAGAAGGCCCATTTGGATTTAGCGTGTGCGTCTGCCGCGTTGGGTGCGTCTGGAGGATGGGTCCGGGGACCTGCGCTCGATCCTCATGTTGCTGGGCTGCTCTAGCGTGAAGATCCGACCCCAGGCCGGCGTCCAGAGAGACCGCGGAACCGGCTGGAGAATGCTTGGTGGAAGGGTAGAAGGGAAGGGTTCAAGGATCGCATGAGCAATGGATATGGCTTCCCTGATTCCTATTTTGTATCTATAAACACCCATGAAGAAGTACCTGTGCAAGGTCGACAAGCAAGCTGATTGGAGATGTTTGCTGGGTCCAATGCGGCCTTTTGCTCTTTGCAGTCTATGAGAATCAGGGCCCCAAAACTGCCACAGTCGTCAGCTCCTTGGAGCAGAGCCACATGAAAACGCTTTGCGCCGCCTGCGTGGAGAATAGTGTGAACTTGTAGTGCTCCACTGGCCTACCTGTGACCGCTGAGTGGACTGCAGTTAATGTTGCTCGTCGCCCGTGGCTTGCACAGAAGCCAGTTTCGTAAATGCTAGTAAAGCACGCCATCGGGTGTGACATGGCTGCTTCTAGGAAAGAGGGCCATTGTCGCACAGTTGGCATGACTTTCCCGACGATTCAAAACAAAACAGCAGTTATATCAGTGGCCGTCATCAGCATTGGACAACCAAGCACCGATTTGTGACAGGACCTTGTTTGATGCAAATCCGCAGATGAATAGATTAAAAAAGAAGAAGACCGAATAACAGGCTGTGTGGCTGTTCGAATCGCTCCGAGCACACTTAGCAGCCCCAAGGGTTTGCCGCATTCCAAGGGTTCCAAAGGGTTCCAAAGGGTTCTTCGTCTCTAGTGGATTCGACCCGCGCGCTTTCAGTCCGTGGGCGCCTTTGAGTGCTTCGGCCTGCCGGGCCGCGCTCTGCTGGCCGGGGCGCCGCTGGTGCTGGGGGCCATGTGGGACGTGCTGGGTGGAGACCTGGACAAGTTCGCCTGCAGGCACCTGGGACGCCGCGCCGCGGGTTTCTTTCTGGATCATTTGGACCATTTGGATCATTTCTCTTGTTCCTTGGGACTCGTTTCGGCGAACACTAAGCATGATCAAGGGGCACATGTGCAAGTGCTGCGGAGTGTTGGCTTGTGCTTGGATCCTCGGGTTTTGCTTCCGTAGATGCGCATTGGATGAGCAGGGTTTTTTTCCGAGGGTAAGGGAACAACATGATCTCTTCGAGTGAGACTCGGATTATTGTAGCGGTCAGAGCGGGAAGGGCCGCGCCACCTGGATCTGCTTGGAAGGCCAGCGCATGTCGGCTTTTGCGTTAATGTCTGGCTTCGGATATCGTGGCCTGCGGCACTGGGGCTTTGCATCCCTCGATCGAGCCTTGCTGATCCCAAAAAGCCCCGGGACCCCAAAACCTGAGAGCCTGAGGCCAATCAATCCCCGCCCTAATCCCCAAAAGCCCAGACCCTTGAACCTAAAGGAGACAGCACAGGATGGGTGAGTCACAAAACACCCCCAAAACGACCCGCGCAAAAGGTTAGGAGAAGCAGCAACAGCGGATGGCGGCACGTTGCGGTCTTCAACATGTGGAGCCTGGAAGTGCGCAATCCTATCCCCCCATCAAAGGCCTTGCGAGCGCGCGATGTCCACACCTCGTTTCAACCGCCTGAGAGCTGCCCGAAGCCGCCTGCGGTGATCGGGGCCCGTGGCCTCGAAAACTCGTGCCCAATGCTTCGCCGGACGTCCCAAAGACATGTAGATCAGCAGATGAGCTCGATCCTGCCGCCAAGCTCGCCCATGATTCGAGTGGGTGTTGCAAGAGCCCGCACCACACACACATATACGGAAGGAGCCAAATGCAACAACTGAACTTTTGCTCTGCATGCCCTTTGTCTTGACTTCCTGATGGGCTCACATGACGAAGACTGCTGAGCGGGCGCTGCTGTTTGGCTCTGACTGAGCGTGGCTATGCCCCAAGTTATTCTTGGCAGCTTTCCCTGGGTAGACTCAGCAGCCCTTGCAGGCACTGTCCAGGTCTACGCGTCCATTTACATAAAAAGATCTGAAAACCCAACATCCTGAAACCGTAGCGTAAAGACACTGGCACCTTCTGTAGAAACACACGCGTTTCTTCTCATGTGCGGTCACTTTGGGGCACTATGTCTGAGTCCCTCATCTCAGACAGCTTTAAGAAGATCCCACTGGCAGAATCCTGGCATTCCGCTTGCCAGATTTGGGATTGTTCGCTCTTGATGTGGTATTGCTGTCAACGCAGGCCCGCCGCCCTCTGTCAACTTCTTGTGGATCTTGCACATTTGTAGTACGAAATTCGATCTATAGTTTCATCATGCTGTTGCTAGGCTGCTCCAGAAGTGGTGGCAGAAACCTGACGGATCCCAGGGAGGCGGGGCGCTTCGCATCTCATCCGAGTCCAATGCATCATTGCTTTGTCATCACACGCTTAGTGGACTGAAGTCAACCTTTCAAGCGGGGAGGTAGACGGAAGGAGTGCACTGGCCCCTGGCGAGTTTTTTCCCACACTGCCACCCAGTACAGGGGTGGAGCCTCCGAAACTAGGGACGATGGGGCGAGACCCGCTTGAAAGTTGCTCCAATTTGGGCTTTGTGGTGTGCCACGACTACCCAATCTGCAAGACCGCAGGAACTAGCCTAGCTTCTGTCAAAGAGACACTTGTGCCCCATTGTTTTTGACATGGCAGTTCTATGCATAATATAACTAAAACATCTTATCCCTGAGATTCCGCATTCAAGAACTTGAACCAAAGCGTGTCTTGGCACATTCGCTCTGAAGCCATGTACACACTTTACTCGTTTTCACGTTTTCGTTCTTTCACATCTTCAGACCAGGTGCACGCTCATGCAAATTTGAACTGTGGAAACACCTCAAGCCATGAATGTAGCATTTGCTGTTCTATTTTGCGAGGGTTTTGTGCTGGACTTCAAGCAGTTAATGCGGTTCGCCAGGTCTTCTGAGCGCTTTAAGGCTCCTGCGGCCCAAGTGCTTGCTTCCCAACCTCACTGGAGCCGCGCTGGTGCCTTTGCTGATACCTTGACCAGGTGCTGCAAACAATGGGCAAGCAAGGTATGACACGTCCAAATCAGGCGTCGTGCGTTGGTCTGAAAGGTAGTTTTGATGCCAGGTCAGTGTGCACGTTTAGAGACGTGTGGCACGTGTTGGGAACAGGTGCTCCTGTCAGGCATGCTTATGCACACGCAATGGTTGGACTGGCTCCTGCGAGCCAAAGAAAGGATCCAAGTGAAACAAAGGCTCCTCAACTCCTCGCGGCTCAGGTTTGCTATGGAAACCCAATGTAGGTGCATGTCTGAGCCTGCTGAGGGCTACTAACAGCTGCCTCAGTTCTCTGTTGTAAGCAAATCAAATGTATAGCCAAGAGATTAATTCGTTGCCTGCACGGTGCGAAGCTGAACTGCTTGAGCAGTATTGGCCGCGCGAATTCGCATAGTTTTTTGGATGACCGTTTTCGTGCAGAATTAAAAGCACAGCGTTTTGCCGGGACATGGCCGGGCAGGCAAGCCGACATCACACGTGCACATTTTCTGACAGCTATGGCGGCATTGGCCTCGTGGATTGACATCCTTCTCGCTGCTTGGCTCTTAGACGTCTCACCTCACCAAATTGCATGGGAAACCGTAGGAGCCCTCAGGCTGGTTTCCACTGGGTCGGGCCCTGAGTCAAGCACTTGGCTGTTTTGATTGTGGGCAAATTTGGGTCGAGAGTTGATAGAGAGTCTAGTGCCTTCGGAGTACGCGGGCTTCGATTGGTTGGGGAGAGCAATTCTTGTCCTTGTAGTGGATCTGCATTTGACATCTTGCTGTTCTCCTGTTGGCAGCATCGGAGATAGGTCATGTTTGCTCTTGCACGCTCATCGCGCATTCAAATACATATCAGCATACACGCAAAGCTCGTTGGATATTTGTCCGTCCAGTTGTAGCTTCGAGTGACTTACCCCAGGCGCGATGCCCCGGCTGCGGCTGTGGCCCGCCCGGCGCCCGAAAGATTGGAGTGGCCGCGCTTGAATATGACTGGGAGGCAACTCTCCGGTTGCGGGCATGGAACAAGGCCAATCGGATGGCATTTCTTTTTTTGCTTGTATTCGTATCGCCAAGTGGTTGGCTTGCTGCTTAAATGTTCAACTTGCAAGAGTTTGGGTCCAAGCGTGTTGGGGGCAAGAAGAACCACCTAGCCACATTGGTGTGAGGTGGGGAGATCTCGTGCGTGGGAAGCTAATCCTGGTGTGTGATTGCAAAATGCAGTCTGACCAAAAGGCTGACCTTGTGCAGGCATCGAGCAAGGCTGACGAGCTTACAACACCGTTCAAAATATAAACAGCAGCGAATCAGGGCAGGCTATCCTTGACGCCTGCAAACAGTGCCTGCTGTGTATTGAGGCTATGCCCATGCCACAATATCAAACATGTAGCGTTTATTTTTGTGTGTCTATGCATGTCGATTCTGCTTCTTGCAAAGGGAATGCGATGCATACACACATATACGCATGCACACGCACACACACACACACATGTACATATTAATATACTAATATAGATGATGCATGCATGCATTCATACATTCCGATGCATCGACAAGCAACTACACAAGAAGTTGGTACTGGAATGCATGCGACAAACGCACAGACGTGACATGCATGAGCACTTGATTGCATGCATACATGAATCAATCAAGCCATCAATACATGAATACATGAACAATACATACAGACTCACAGCTTACATCGACTACTGAACACATGGACAGATAGACACGTGTATGAATTGATAGACAGATAGACAGCCACGCAGGCAGATACACAGATGTAATTACATATACACAAATATACATAGTCGCAGGTACACTGATACACAGATACACAGCTATACAGACACAGATACACAGATACGCAGATACGCCGGTGCACAAACACAGAGATACATAGACACACATACAGACACATACATACATATGTAGACATAGACATATATATATATGCATATGATATATATATATATATATATATATATATATATATGGTACCCCCCCCCATTGACTCTGATTTTTTTGGCTGCATGACTTTGAAAGCAATCTTGGAAGCAATCTTGGGTTGTCAGCCCAGGGGGGAATAAGGGAAATAAGGATCCTTATTCCCCTTATTCCCCTCAAACCCAAGAACCCAAGAACCCAAGATGCACAGAGGACTTTTGGAAGCAATCTTGGGTTGTCAGCCCAGGGTGGAATAAGGGGAATAAGGATCCTTATTCCCCTTATTCCCCTCAAACCCAAGAACCCAAGAACCCAAGATGCACAGAGGACTTTTGGGAGCAATCTTGGGTTGGCAGCCCAAGAAAAAAGGAAGGGACATGAGGATGCTTATTCCCGTTCTTACCTTGAAACCCAAGATTGCTTCCAAAAGTCCTCTGTGCATCTTGGGTTCTTGGGTTCTTGGGTTTGAGAGGAATAAGGGGAATAAGGATCCTTATTCCACTTATTCCCGTTTCTACCTTCAAACCCAAGATTGCTCCCAAAAGTCCTCTGTGCATCTTGGGTTCTTGGGTTCTTGGGTTTGAGGGGAATAAGGGAATAAGGATCCTTATTCCCCTTATTCCCTTCCTCCGCTCAGACTTGGCCTTTGCATCTTGCCAAGAGAGTCGAAATTCTGCTATATTCAGCTCTCAGGCAGCTCAAGTCCTTATTGTCTGTCTCCTCCTTCTTTCTGCCATGGCTTCCTTTGACGTGGTTGGCAAGGTCAGGTTCTCCAATGGCGCAGCCGAGCTGCGAATCCAACCAGCGTCTAGCCCTGCTTCATCCCAAGCTTACAAAGTCGACAAGGAGAAGCCTCGGGTCACTCTAGATGAAGTTCTTGAACAACACGAACGCGGAGCAATCAAAATTCATGACAGCCGGCTTCCATTGGATCAACGCGCCTTGCGTTCCATGATGTACAACACACAGAAAACTCTGAACATCGAGCCCTTGGGCCACATGGGCAGGTGGACAGAGGAGTGTCACGAGAAGCTTCTACGTGACCTGCAAGCACCTAAGGGCCATGTTCGGGGACGCAAGCGTCGTGACCGGCTGGCCATCCTGGACGCAAACACCCAGGACCCGCTGCCAATCCAAGACGCCCCAGTCCAGCAAGAGCAGCAGTTGGCCGAGGACCACCAGGGAACCTCCGAAAAGGATGAGGGCATGTCCGAGGACCACCATGGGATCTCCGAAAAGGATGAGGGTGTGTTTGAGGACCAGCAGGGTGTCTCCAAAAAGGATGAGGGTGTTTCCGAGGACAACCATGGGATCTCCGAAAAGTATGAGGACGTGTCTGAGGATCAGCAGGGTGTTTCCAAAAAGGATGAGGGTGTTTCCGAGGACCACCATGGGATCTCCGAAAAGGATGAGGACGTGTCTGAGGACCAGCAGGTGATGTCCGAAAAGGATGCGGGCCTCTCCAGTCAAGAGCCACCCCACCAAGACCAAGACATGCCTGAGAATAATCAAGGTCACTCTGAGGACTCAGGCGACGACTCCTCCTCTTCAAGCTCGTCGTCTTCAGATTCATCTACGCCCACACGAGCTCACAATGAGAGTGTCTCCGCGCAACTCGAGCTCAAGGAGCTTGAGTTGCAAGAGGCTCACGCTCGCATTGAGATCTTGGAGGGTGACATTCAACAATATGAGTGCGAACTTGAAGAGCTTAGGGCACATTTGGCTGAGGAGCGTGCCTCAAAGAGGGCCAGGAAGTAGAAGCCTGTATAGCTGTCAAGCTGTATTCAGAATCTTCTGTAAGTAACATAGCCATCATTGGCAGACGGTACTATACATGTGCACATACTCTTGTCCGGATCTGCTCCTGTGAGAGGTGACAAAAAAGATGTCTGCTTTTGGTTGCCTTTTGATGTGGTAGCTTGCAGCAGGACATCATGGCTTGCACGAATGCATGACATTCCTGAGTTTGATATGTGAACCTGTTGCTTTCCAGCTTAGAGTTCCCAAGTAGTTGCCCCTAAGGCACACCATCTTCTTATTCCACGTCCAGCATGTTAGACGATGCCATGGCCCTACACTCCGGCAAAGAGTGGGTGTATGAGACCCACACCACCCCCAAAATGGCTTGGCACTCTCGTGGGGAAATTTCAGAACCCATCCTCTTGTCAGACTTCTTGGACAACTCATGTCGCAACTTGAACGAAGCGAAAGTGACCTCCATAGCCTTCGATGTCCACAAGAATGTGCCAGAATTTAGCGGTCTTGCTCAGATTGGGGAGCTTCTGTCACAAGGCAACATCGCAGATGTACCCTTTCCACTACGTCTTCAAGGGCCTCTTCCTCCCAAGGCAACCATGGGCGTCATCATCGAAAACCACCATGATGGAACAATGTCTCTGATCAAAATTCTGCACTTCGCCAACAAGATCACTGCTGCTGCCGCCCAGCGCCTGATCACAGGAGAGGGCTTCGTGCCTGTGTCACGCCCTGGGCCATGGGCGCATCGCAAAGCTGTCCAGTCCTTACTGGATCGTCTTCCCGGCTTTCGCGTGATGTGGGCGAGCCTGACAAAAAAGGCTCCTCTCCAAAGGGCTCAGTCTTCTCAGTGGGCACCTGATGACGAGGCGCTTAAGGAGGGCATCTTGTTCATCAATGCCAATGCACCAGAATGTGACTCGCAGAATGAACAGACCTATTGGATCCTATGTTCCATCAAGGAGGGCTCTGGCACACCGTGGCCTGGCCGGAGCGCAGCCTGAGACTGACTTCCCCCTCACCATGTTCAGCTTGAAGCCCTTCATGTCTGATGTTCTTTTGCCAATGGTTATGCCGATGTTGCTGACTTATGGCATCATGATGGTGGGCTTACCAGGCGTCGGCAAGACACCCTGTTTGATCACCCTTGCCATGGCAATTGGACGTTACCACGTCCGGCGTCTCTCTTTGACAGCCTCGCCGGGCTGGCGTCGAGCCAAGTCTCTCGACAACTTCAGGCATCGAGTCCCCCAGGTACAAGAGGCCGTCTTTCTCGATGATCCTTCCAGGGACAAGATCGATCTAGCCGACATGAAATCGTTCCTTACTGCGGATGAAGACCAGACTTGCTCAGGCAGGTACAATGCTGTCAGGCTGGTCAGAAATGGCATGAGGGCATATGCTTCCAACGACATCGGTGAGGGGGATGAGCCTGAGGACACCTACCGCAGTGACATCGAGCCCGACGAGTTCTTCAAGTTGCTCCGCAAAACATTTCCAGAGTCCAAGCAAGCAGACGTGCTGGCAGTGCTTAAGCGGACAATTGTCATGGTCTTCGGGCAGAATGGTCTCTACTTGCGCTTCCCGTCCCCCAACTATGGTGCCCTTGTCCATCGCATTGTGGCAGACGATGTTCACAAAGATCTCCTTGCCACCAAGGACAAGCCTGTGTATGCTGCGTACAAGCTGGGTGATATGGTGAAGGGAAGCTACTATGAGAGCGAGGTGGAGAAGGAGCAGA